GTGTAGGCGGGTACCACGGCAATGTACCTAACATTGCCGTGGTCGGTGTTGCGGTACGTAACAAAAAGTTGGGCCCTGTCGATGCTGTGCCACAATGGTTTCGATTGACCCTCTTTGTGCGCCTCTTCTTTTGTATAAAAATACATATAATACGGACCGGAAGACGCAGCGTGGGAAGGCCTCCAGCAAGGTGGACCGACGATCTGGTCAAGATCGCTGGAAGGCATTGGATGCGAGCAGCGCAGGACCGATCGTCGTGGAGATCTTTGGGGGAGGCCTGTGTCCAGCAGTGGACGTCTTCCGGGCTGGGATGATGATGATGATGACATATAATAAATAATACTCATAAATTTTATCTGCCAAATGTAGGTAGTTAACTATATTATATACTGTTTTAAACTTGACGCGGTCATTATTTATATGTATAATTAGTAAAAATCACGGGATCTTACCACGTTTTATATTTATTTGCTGAGTTCCCGATATTTCGGTAGTGTTTCAACCACCATGATCACGGGTAAACTGAAGAGCAGCGGGTAGATGGAAAATGAAATCTTTTTATGGGCAGGCATATGCGTCTACCTTCACACGTCTTCGTTTGTTGATACTACTGGAACTCGCTCGATATTCATCTCGGCAAACTCGGTACTCACAGTTTGCCGAGATGAATAAATATAACAAATAAATATAAAACGTGGTAAGATCCCGTGATTTTTACTAATTATACGTATAGTTAACTATATTGTTAATATATTTTGTTAATACGTCACATGGGTTTCGTTCTTTTAACCCACATTTTTTTTTATCAAAAACCAAAGTTCTAATCTCATGATTTAATACTTATGTACATCCGGTCTTGGTGGTCTAGCGGTTTAGCACACCGCCTTACTTCCGCAGTGGTCGCGGGTTCGATTCCTCGCAAGCTCAAACATTTGTAATCATGAGTATGATTGTTTGTATCTGTTATTATTTATGTATTTATTTAAAAAATGTATCAGCGTTTTACTATCAGTTATCTACTATCCATAACACAAGCTCTGCTTAGCTTGGGACTAGATGGCGCTGTGTTAATTGGCCAGGATTATTTATTTATTATTATTCAGTAATTAAGGAGAACTTTTACTATGATAATGTTTATTTATTAAAAATCTTTTTCTTAACAATTTACCCATTTATGTTGATATATTATTATTATATTAGATTTTGTATTGTGACGTCAATGACGTCTCAAAATTCCGGACCATTACCAACTCTGTCACACTACTTCATACTTTCGATACACACGCTAACTTGTGAGGTATTATTGGAAAGCAATGGAAAATGAAATAGTTTTTCTATGCTTGACCTCCACGCGGTTCCTCCTAGAAACCATCTTGATAAATTCCTGGTGACTTTGTCACGATGGGCTAACCTGACCTCATCTTCATTTATCTCCTATACTGGTGCCCCACCATCGTAAACCGTTAGCGCAGATAGGTCGTTTCATATTCATATTTGAAAAATTATCTTCTATGCTAATTAATAAAATGGTCAGTACATTATCAGTACTTACTTGTTTTGTAAGACTTTGTCGCTGTTGATATATAATTAAGTAAACAAACATTAAAAACGTAATGCACGGCATTTCAATTTATTTGCTTGAAGGTTATTGCACCCGTTGATGTCTTATATATGGAATCGAACAAACACAATATTCTAATACGCTTAATAATAAAATGAATTAAGTGAATTATTACATATTTCGGAAATTCAACCTTAAAGAGAAATCCATAAAGTAGATATTTTAATTTATATTATATGAATATTGATATGATGTAATTTGTTTTTTAAATTACAGTAGAGTACACTTACTTATTATACATTTTGGAAATTAGATTTTAACGCAAATACATAAAGTAGATATTACCATTTTTACAATTACGAATATTAATGGAAGGTATTGTTTTTTTTTAATTTGAGTTAATGAAAATTAGTTATTTTTAAACTTTCGTGTTTAATATACATTATTTAAATTATTAACCGGGTCTTAACACGAATAATTTTATGGCAAATAAAGGTATTTACCTCTCTCGACGTTTCGACTAGGTTGCACTAGCCGTGCTCACGAGCTGACTGGAGTAACAGCGATGTCAATATAGATAGGTGACAGCAGTTTTACTTCATCTACCATCTACCTATTTCTATTCTATTCTATTCTATTCTATTCTTTATTTACCATAAAATTATTCGTGTTAAGACCCGGTTAATAATTTAAATAATTAATGAAAATTACTATAAGGTTTGGTAAATAATATGATTTTTAATAACCGCTACTTTTTTAATGAAGGATGTTAGAAAGATGACTTTTTCAAAAATCCTTTGTCCTTACTTAGCTTTATGCTTACGTTTATAATAAATGTATGTATTCAATTTGTGACTTTATAGATTGCATAGTTTCTGTCGCGTCATTGGGCAAAATATGGTCGAGTGCAGTGAGGGTTGGATCTTCCATCATACTCGTGAACAAGTACTGCAGGGACTGGTCTGCTCTAATCATTACGACTGATTTAATGTTATTGTATATTTAATATTTGACCCTAATAAATTAGTGCCAGTTAGTAGTTCGTATTCACACATTTCGAGTTACAACAATTATTTAAAAGAGCAACACACAAGTTTTTTGTTCATTCTTCTTGTGATGAGACAGCTTTCCGAATGAGCGGTAGATTAAAAGAAGGTAAGTATAGGAACAAAGGATTTCTTATTCTGTTACATATTATACTAGCTACTCGCCCCGGCTTCGCACGAGTGTATATGTATTATATATGTAAATCTTCCTCTTGAATCACTCTATCTATTAATAAAAACAGCTTCAAAATCCATTGCGTAGTTTTAAAGATTTAAGCGCATACATAGGGACGGACAGACAGCGATAGCGACTTCATATTATGTAATGATTGTTCCTTTTTAATTTTGTAATCTTGTGTTGTGTACAAATAAAGCATTATTATTAGATATATAGGCGACAGTCACCAATTTTCATCAGTCCAGCCATCAGTTTGTTTACTATTTCATGTTCGTAAAAACGATAAGCACACAAAAGAAAAAACGGTAGACCAGGTTCCTTTATTTTGAATCGGTTAAAACAAATCTCTAGCGGTCAGTTCGCAGCGGTCATTCACACTCATTGGTTAACTGTACTGTTGGAAGTTGGAATTGCTCCACAGATGCAGTTAGTTTATTGAGACTTTATTTTGAAATCTCCATATTTGGAAAATAAGAAATAAGTTATGGCTGCTGATTATGTTTAATTTATTAAAACTTTAAAACACTAATACAAAAATAAAAATGCCCAGGGCAGACTTAACACCCTACTATTACTGGCAGTCAACCATATTTTTTATTGGAAGTTTTGGGCTATTGTCAGGTGCTAAGTGAACAGTAATTTTTCTATTCTTTAAACATAAATATAATTAAGTTATAAGTACACATTATAATATTTACCATTAGTTTGTAGAACCACAGCTATGCTACCATTATAATTGTTCTATATGATGTTCAGAGTTATGTTTTACCAACGCACCGCACAACGGCCCAGAAGATAGGGTACAGGTAGAGAATAGAGTGGCAAACGGTGCGATAATAATGTAATACATTATTAATTATAATTATTATTAATAATAATAATAATAATAATTATTATTATTATTAATGATAATAATTATTAATAATGTAATACATTATTATTGCACCGACATCCCCAGACGCTGGAATCTAAGTGGTCTGGACAGTGCGGTTTCAAGGGAATAAACTACCTGCCAAAGATTTGTCAAGAGACTACAGCATGGAGTTTTTCAAGGGTTGGCAATATTCACATAATACCTGGTGTTTCAGATATCCGTAGGTAATTGCTAACCATCAGATGGGCCGTATGCTTGTTTGTCACCGTCGTAGTATAAAAAAGACGAGATTTTTTGTAAAAGATTCACCCTTGTAAATATTTTTTTAGAATGTATTTTGTCCCACTGCTGGATAAAGGGCCTATTACATATACATATAAGTAAGTACTTCAGTCTATCATTCATAAAAAAAAACGCAATCATTTTCCTCTTTCGTTCACAACGGATATGGTGTATCACAACACCATTAAAATTTCGAAAGTTTATTACACGTTATCTCATAATAATGTTATATAAATTATTAAAAAATGTTACGTAACAAAAATTTTGATTTCGATAGAAAGCAAAAATTAGATATGCGCGACGAATAAACCGCGACCACATTTCGCATAATTTATTCGCTGGAATACAATAATTACATAATTATAAACATTTTAGTATATAAACATTGATTATCTAATTTGGCAAGAAACAGGTAAAACAGGTAAGAATATATTACATTTATGGCGTCATGCGTAATTTTGAATATAGAATTTAATTGAGGAATTTCCTTTGCTTTGCCAAAGAATTTAAAAAAAAAGAAGGTATAGACGTTAAAAAAAGTATCTGTAGCAATATTTATTCTGTGGTATATGTGCCAATACTGTTAAGCAGCTACTTTTTAAAAAGTAAAAGTATAGGTAAAATAGAAATGCAAACTTGTAGAAACTTTTTTTTAAATAACTATTTAACATTACAATACAACACTTACAGCGAATTAGATTATAATATTTCGTTTAAAAAGTATACTTATGTATGTACAATTACACAAACGTTCTGTTAACAATAGCTCGAGTTTCTCTAGCATAATGCCCAAATGCGTAACTTACTTCCTCATTGATTTAAAATGGCTAAAATCGGTCAGGATTCGAATATAAATGAAAAAGCGAAAGTTATTGTAACTAGTTCCGTAAGTCCTATGCCGAGTATAACGGACTTTGGTGAAAGAAGAAATGGCGAGTTATCGAATGCCCTACTGTCAGTTTTGACGTTGCTTTTGGCGCGAAATGACGTCCATATTGCATCCAATTTACACGAAACGTGTTTATTTATTATAATACAGTTAAATAAATATAAAAAGAAATGACTATGGATTTAAAAGAGATTATTAAATGGTTTATACCGTGTTTTCATATTTTGCTACTTTTCAATAAAATTATGGATAGACGATTGACATTTGTTTGTTTGTGTTTATTTTTTAATTTCTGCTCCATTGATGGGGCAAAGGTAAATAGTGATGTACAGTTAAATTTAAGTCAAAATAGTATTAATAGTACCAAAAATATAGTTAATAATGGAGAAGTGTCCAAGTTTAACCAAAGTGAAGAAATTGGGAAGAATAATGCGAACCATCTAGAATTTAGCTCGGATGGTGCGTCAGTAGGTAAGTTTGGTGTATTTAAGAAATCATATATGTAAATACATATATAGTAGAATTTACTGACTCTATTTGTGTATAATTATCATAGTAACATATTGATTTATACCCTTTATAGTCTATCCACACAAACAATTATATATTATGCGAAATTTTACTACAGTTAGTAGAGCCATTATAGAATAGGTAAAGAAGCTAAGAAATTACCACGGAATCTCACGTTCAAGTTTATTATATGTATCCATAGCTACTGGCATTATAAATGCAATATCTGTCTGTCTATTCGCTATGTTTTATCAATCAAACAGCTGAACGTATTTTAGTAAAATTTAACATGAAAATAGACTGTATTACGGATGCATCTTACTAATATAACAAACGCAGAAGTTTGTGAGTGTAGCTGGATGAAAGAAAGAAAGAATGGATGGATGTTGTTTGTTCTTTCACGTAAAAACTACCGAATGCATTTCAATATATTTTAAAATAATATAGTTATACATCACAATAACACGTAGGCTAATTTCATGTGGGTGAAACCACGGGCAAAACTAGTGTAAATATAATAATAATCATCGCTCCTAAGAATATCCTTCAATTCTTGTCCCTGACGGGTCTAGGTAGCGAACTTTGAAAAAGGGCGAGCACAATAGATCTATGTAGGTCGCAGTGCTACAGTGCACGTGACAATAGCCCAAAACTCAATAAAAAAATAAAATAGTGTGAGTATATAGGCGATACAGACTTTTCATCAGAGACAGAGATTTCCATCGTGTGGGCCGTTTGTCGTTCGCCAAAAAAATGTGTTCACCACGTGTTATTTAACCCACTTGCCTACTTGTATAGTCGTTATATTAATATGTATTATTGTTGAGCCGGTTTTTTTTATACACATATGGTAAAACTATAGATCAATTCTGTTAATGTATGTACGTATTTATATGTATTTTGTTATTATAATCTATACATCTTTACATATAAATAAAATTGGAGTGTCTATTTGTAATATTGAAATAACAGTTTTTTACTACATGCATATGAATATAAATATGGTACATAGACCTAAATATTTTTTTTTACAATTTTTGTTGTTGTCTGTCTGTTTGTTCCGGTTAATCTCTGAAATGGCTGGACCGATTTTGATGGGACTATTTTTGGCAGGTAACTGATGTAATAAGAAGTAACTTAGGCTACTATTATTTTAGAGAAATAAAGTTAAATTCCATGCGGACGAAGTCGCGGGAACATTTAGTTATATTATAATTATTTTAGCTACATTCAAGTATCTCTGCACATTCTAAAGGTTGACTGGGAAATAATGTTAAAGCATTAAGTGTTCTGTACCAATGTTTAGTGGTCAATAAATCATATAAAAAAAACTCCTCTGTATCTATATTTTATGTTCAGTACACACTGAACATAATGTAGATGACAGAATGATTTTTACTTTACCAATAAAAAATACAATAAATACATCTAAAATATATCTTACTAGCTCTGCCTGTGGTTTTACCCGCGTCAAATTTATAGCCTAGGTGTTACTCTGATGTATAAGCCCCCTCCGATCGAACCCCCGTCCAATTCAAACGGGGATCGATATTACGACGACCTGAGCCGAGGTTCGAACCCCTAGCGGTGCCCTCAGACTAAAGTCGTATCCGTCAGGCAGGAGTTGGCCTTCAGCCGCTTTATAAGTCCTTCCGCGGGTTTGGAGTGCCATCTGCACTCGCCGCCTATCGTCCGGTGAAGCTGTAAAGGCCAGCTGCAGCCGACAGCATTAGAGTAGTCCGAAAAAAATGAGTAATCTATATTATTGCAAAGTTTCAATAAAACCCGTTTAGTAGTTTTAGTGTGAAAGAGTAACAAATCTATCCGTATCCTACGGCATATTTCTTAATATTTTCTTACATCTCTATTAACTCCCAATATTTCTCTTTAACAATAATAAATAAAAACCCTGGACAATTAACACAGCACCATCTAGTCTCACGGTAAGCAGAGCTTGTGTTATGAGTACTAGACAACTCATATAAATACTTCAATCCTTTTTTTGTAAATACATTCATAATATACATAGAAAACACCAAGACCGATACTAACAATCATACTCATGAACACAAATGTTTGCACCGTGCGAGGAATCTAACCCGCGACCATCGGAAGTAAACCGAGGCCGTCAAATATGTTTTAATATATCGTTATAAATGGAAATACAGAAAATCTTTTAAAATTCATAAATAATATTTAGGTTCAGTAGCTAAAACGTGTAACATTGAAATGATTTCGACGCTTCATTGTTACGTAAATACATATATTATTTGATAAACTTGACCTTTTTTTATTTAAGTGGAATGGTAAACGAACTGACGGTAAGTGGCAATTATTTGTGGATATATATAAGATAGGTATATATAATAATTACCCTTTTATATCTTTTGAGGCCAAAACAGAATGCCTGATATATATGTAAATATATATATATGTATAAATATTAATAAAAAAAATATATATATATTGTAGGCCTCGATGGTCAAGCGGTTTAGCACACCGACTTACTTCTGATGGTCGCTGGATCAATTCCACAACGGTACAAACATTTGTATACATAAGTATGATTGTTTGTATTGGTCTGGGTGTTTCCTATGTATATGATGTATGTATATACAAAAACAATGTAATTAAGTATTTATATCAGTTGTCTACTCATACCCATAATACAGGCTTTGCTTTTGTTTGGTTTGGGACGACTATAATAAAAATCCTGATCATCTGGATCAATGGCGGTCCTCCACAGTGCGGTTTTCTAGAAACTTTTTACCATGTGGTTGTTCACAACCACATGTGGAATCACCTTTCAGCAATGGTATTTCTGAACCGCTACGATATTGAAACCTTCAAGAGAAGAGCTTATTCCTTTTTAAAAGTCCGGCAACGCGCTTGCAATTTCCCTGGTGTTGCGGGTGCTCATGGGCGGCGGTAATCACTTACCATCAGGTGAGTCGTAAGTTCGTTTGTCCCCTGTGCTGTGAAAAAAACTTGACCATAATTAGAATAGCAAACAAGCTTACGGCTCACCTGATGCTAAGTGGTTAAAGTACCTCTAGACACAATATATCTTGTACCTGCTTACATACCTTGACATATTAAATATATAATACTAGCTGTGCCCGCGATTTCGTCCGCGTGGAATAGTGACCTTCAATAGCATTTTTAATTATTTAGGCCAAGTATTTTACAAATAAGATGCCTGACATAGTTCTAGCTTCAAAAATGACGAATTTCCATACAAAAGTTTGTATGGAACATCCCCTATTTTATTTTACCCCTAAGTGTAAAATTGTTACAAACTTTGAATGTCATGTTTATTTATATATAATCAACAACCTAAAAAATAAATTTCCAACTTCTAGCATTAAAAATTACGGTAATTCCATACGACCTTACAACTCCCCTTTCAACCCCTTTCAAGCTCTTTTTTTAGAGTTTAAAAAGTAGTCTATTACTTTTCTCAGGGTCTAGACTATCTGTGTTTTTTTCAAAATTTTATTTAAATCTGTTCAGTAGTATTGCCGTGAAAACATAACAAAGAGACAGACAGAGTTAATTTCGCATTTATAATATTAGCACAGATAACATAATATTACATTTTTTTTAAGCTTTTTAATTTTAGGTTCTTAGTTGTACAATTAGGTTATGTAAATACTAGTAATAAATTTAAATTAATATAGCTTAAAAATATTACATATCGTAAGCATTTATATTAAACATTATAACATGGAAAAATACTTAAATATATAATTTATATAAATAATAAATTAAATATAATTATTACTCTTCATTTATATGCATATGTCAGATCAAAATAGACTAAAAACTCGTCTGCGTGTGTACCTACCTCAGTGTCTCCTATTTCAGTCGTCAAGCAGCTTGCTTTGTAAGTTGTTTCGGTTGCAGGGTGCAGATTGGGTAGTGAAATTACAGATCTTAGTCCTTCAGAATAAAAGTCAAGAGTGATGTTATAGGTTATATGATGAGGTGATATCCGTGCTGTTCATATATAGTAACTAGCTGTGCCCACGACTTCGTCCGCGTGGAATTTAACTTTGTTTTTCAAAATTAAATTGAATTAAAATCAAAGTAAATTTAACTTCTGTTAAAATTAAGTAATCTAAGTTACTCCTTATTACATCAGCTACCTGCCAATAAAAGCCCCTTCAAAATCGGTCCAGCCATTTCAGTGATTAGTCGGAATAAACAAACAGACGGACAGACAAAAATTGTAAAAATATTATTTTGCAGTATGTACCGTATTTATATTCATATGCATGTAGTAAAAAACTATTATTTCAATATTACAGACACTCCAATTTTATTTATATAATAGATAGATAATAATCTCAGGACAATTCACACATCGCCATCTAGACCCAAGTTAAGCTAGCTAAAGCATGTGTTATGTGTACTAGATAACTGATACATAGCTATTTTTTTGTAAATACATACATATTATATAAAGAAAACACCCAGACCGATATATATATATATATAACCGATATAGATAAATAATCATACTCATGAATGTTTGTGCCAGGAATCGAACTGGCGACCATCTGTCGTAAAGCGATGTGCTAGACCGCTAGACCACCGAGGTCGTCGTGAGTATGGATGGATGTTTGTTATTCTTTCACGGAAAAACTATTAACTCATAGTGAATTAATAAAATAAGTGTCTACAAAAAAATGCAGTCTAACTACCTCAGTTTGTTTGAAGTCGGTTGAAAGCCTGATTGTTTCGTTGCATGCGCTGTAATGCAAGTAACATATGAAATTGCATAATTCATTAAGCATCGAATTCCTCGCTTCGTTGATTCTTTGTTCGCTCGTTGTAACAGCTGATTTTTTTCTGACACCGGTTCGATATTACTTTCTTTGATTAGTGACTAGTAATTGGCCCTGGCTTCGTCCGAGTGGTCATAGAAATAATACTTATTCAATTTATTTCATTTATAC